TTCTTATCTTTAGTGACTTCGTAAGCAACTCTCATCTCTGAATATGTTACTCCACCCACCACAAAAACAATTAAGCGAGGTCCCGAGCGATACGATGTCTGATGTCCACGTTCTTTATGCCACTGACCATATCGAGCACTACGAAGAATTAACTCAATAAAGAAAGAAGAAAAGTAAAGATAAGACAGCAGAAATAAAAGTCTTCAACCAGTCAATTGCGGAAAAAGTAGTGGATGAATAAAATTATGGTTTTGAATGATTCAAAGGAAAGCTAGTACAAAGGCACTCGAAAACGTAGACAGGAAACCTTGTTGGTGGTCGATATGTTGGTATGATCTGTCGTCCAGCTAAAATAGGAAAATGCTTCACATCAAGTCTATCCTCTATTGCATCTTCCAAAATGTCTTTCAAAACTGGAACCCATCGAGAAGTTTGGTAAACCTGTTCATTGGGACGTTCTTTACGATTCGGTGTCCAAAATCGTTTGCGTCCTTGCTAAAAATTTAAGAATTATAAGGAAATCATGGAAGCGATCTTCCAAACTGAGTGAATCCTCAGTTAGTTAGTTAGATGAAAAATTCATAAACTTCATAACTCACATCTATAATTATATTCAAACCCAAAAACATTGCATTAGCCAATGTATCTTTCTCCACCACGTCAATATTCGCATGTTGCAGAAGTTTATCCAAACTTTCCTCGGTAATGCCTCAAGCACACAAAATATAAAAACTGAAGAACCTGTCACATAGCTTTTTTGATTATCAACAAGTTACTCATTTACAACCATTTTCCCAAGACCCTTTTTCTTCTCAAAATTTTCCAAAATTTATTCAGAAAATTGCAGCGAATAGCATTTGACAATAAAGTATCTAAAAAAAACTAACCGTTTTTTGACAAAATGTAAAGCAAAATAAGTCGAAGGCGATCGAGTGGTTCAACTGCTGGGTCAATCAGTAATGGTACCATTAACTTCATAGGATCTTTTACTCGCTCACCTTCTGCATCAACCTGCATTGCCAAGTCCTATAAATAGTTTTTATAAATTAATAAGGAATAGAAATTTAGACTGAAGCTTCAACTAAGCTTTACAAACCTGCTCCACTTTACAAAGTTTATCGATTCCTTGCTGATACTTGCGCATACATTCTTCTGCCAAGTGAAAATGGGTATTGAATTTATTCAATTCTTTCTGATATTGTGGCATCTTTTTGATCATCATTGACAGATCTAAATACAAGTTCATAGCAATAAAATGAGTTTTAATGGGAATCATATTTTTAGATGGGTGACCAAAAACATTCGTTTATATCTTCGTTAGGACAAAAACATATATGAAAAAAAAAACAAACCTTTAATGCTTTTTGCATCAGCTTTCATGCCAGCGTTACTTTCGGAAAATTTTTTCAACCCTTTCGTAACTTCTTGAGAAACAACAGCGATATGCTTATGACGATTTTCGACCCAGAGGTCATCATTTTCATCAAGTAATACCTCTTTATCAATGCTATCATTCCCACCTGTTTCGTAACTGAAATATTAAAAAAACAGAATCCATATTCTATATTCGCAACACCAATATGAATTAAAATAATTTTCTAGAAAACTGAAGGAGTATTCTGTGTACAACTACTGCAAACGAACATAGAAAACAATAATTCGATAAACTAACCGATAGACGTCATTCTCAATATCCAAGAGATCATATGTCATGGCTTGTAAGGTTAGCTCATGAAGCAGTGGACTAATAGCATCAAAGCCTCGATCCAGAATCACTAGCTGACTACGAGCCTTATCTGCACCTTCTCCCATCGAAGGATCATCTGCTTTATAAGCATCAAGTTTCTGCTGCACTAAATGTGACAAAACAACATTCCTTTCAAAATCTGCTCGATACCTGAAAATAAAATACTCAGAAAACGTAGGAAGACTGACTTCTTACATGGATCCAATCACTAGTTTTTCTAACTCTAGTAGTATAATATTTGCTTAAACTCAAAGGAAAAAATGTTCCTTCATGTTTTTAACAGCTGTGAATGATCCACAATTTATTTTAAGTTGTTGCACCTTAAAAGTGGATATTCGCCAAGTGTTGCACACACCGTAGCAATCTGTTCTGCAATGCGTTCTAAATTGGTCGTTAAACCACCTTGTTCTTGTGCATTGTAGTATAGAAAGAAAGTATCCGGTGAATCCAGCGAATATACCTAAAAAAGTATTTTCAACAATTAACTTTTGAAATTTTAAGCAAAAAAAGGACGAAAAAGGAGATGAAAGATTAGATAAAATCGTAAAACTATTTTATCACAGAACTGCGTAACCTTTACCACTTCAATAAAATATACAAAGAAACGCTAAAGGTAGTTACTGGTTAATGTTTTTCTGGAAAACCAAAGTACTGTAGGGATATCGTGGGATCAAGTCATACACATAAATGGAAATGCATACCTGTGATTCATAGGGAGTGAAAGCAATATTTACTTCCTTTAGAGTTTTAATATATTTCGCTGAACGGCTTTTTGATAACGTTGAAAACAGCTGATCAGGACATGCTAAAATTTATACGTGCTTTTTCCAAATTCAAATAATAAAACCGAATTTCTTTACTAGTTTCGAAAAAAAAACTTTTCTATTAAGTAGCCACCTTAGAAAGCAACGAAGTTCTAAAGATTCTTCAAGCATTAAATATAGCTTCAATTTTTACTTTTGCAGTAGTATTAATTGTGGATGTCAACGTCTAATTCTGCAATAAATTTGTTTAACCGGACATAAAGACATCTCATACCTTCAGTAAAGAAAACATGTGCACATCGATATTGATTTCGACCGTAGATAAAATCTGCGATCAATTTCTCAACGGAATCTTTTGTTGGAGCAATCAAATAAATAGCATCAAGACTCTAAAATTCAGTGAAATTAAATAAATGGCATCAAAAAGAAAAAAAAAATTAGGTTAACATAATTTCCTTAAAGTCCCATATACAATTTCATTTCTACTCGATAGTGTTGTTGCTTATGTGTACTTCAAAACAACATAAAGCCAGTACCGATAGTGAAAGCACTGAATCATTTTTCATAAGAAAGTCAATTAAATAAGAAAAATGATTTAGACCAAATGGTAGAACTTACAGGCAATGGTTCTCGACGCTTGTTGATATCTTCAACAATTGTAATACCTTCATCCATGATGTTGTGCATCTTGCAACATGCACTAAGCATGCGCATAGCTAATCGATCCACCACCAGTACATTCCATCCACCACCCTTATCACTTCGTCGCAACGGTCGAATCACTTCATTGAGTAGTTCTATAAAATGAATCGGTACTATGTGATAAAAAATGAAAAAATACATCAGTTTGCTGAGTGTAAAAACCGTTGTGTTAGTCTCACTTAAAAACTCGAAATTAACAGACTGCGAAGTCGCTAGAAATCATCCAATATCTGTTCATAATTATCTTCGACTGCATGCAAATAGTGATAAAAAAAAAGCAGTAAAGACACAGAAAACTAGAAAATATGCACATTTCCTCCTCAATCCGAGAATAGTGAAACAGATAACAATTAAAGATGATTGTTTACAACATTTTCATTTATTTCTACATTTTCTAAACTGTTGGGAATGGTGGTGCATTAGCATTTATTGATGAAACTACTTGAGTATAACTATAAGCAAAGGGAGCTTCAACGAATATCAGATGAAATTCAAAGGCTTTCACAAGGAAATCCACAGCAACAACGGAAATGCGCACGCTTGAAGGTCACCTAACATTGATGCTTCCAGGATTTTTGACTGAAAATTCTTTCCTCTCAAGTTTCACTTCAAGTTAAAGAATGATGTGAACTGGCCAGTTAGGCATGACAATAATACACGACCGAAATATCCGAATGTTGACACAATTTCTCGCAAAATTAAATTTCTCGTAACAAAATTCTTGGTAATACTAAAGATCATGCGACCTTAAAGAACTTAAACGATAATTTGAAGTGAAATGTGAAGTAGTTCATAGCAGATATTGAAAAAAAAAGAAAAAAAAAATAGAAAGTAGGAAAAAAGATAAATGTAAAGACATCTTTGATTTCAGTGGTAATCATCTTTCAGGAAGATCATGAAAAACTAATACAAGAGATACAGAAGTTGCAAGAAAATAGGAAAAAAGATGAAAAAAGGTAAAAAACAAAGAAATGGTTGAACGTTACACTTTCAAGCAGATAAAATCAAGGATTCTTAAATCTTTAGAAAGATCCAGATAAATTATCCATAGCAAATATTTATACCGACTAAGAATTGACTAACATGAAGTCAGGAGCTGAGATCCTTTATACTCATTAAAATTTTAGACTCAATGAACTAAGAAAGCAAATAGAAACAAATGAGGGAAACAGGGGAAGTAAAAAAAGAATACGCAAAAAATTAGAAGTAAATTAACAAACTTTAGACTTTTTCATTTGTCTTATATCTGGTTTTTATCTTAACCTTCCTATTTCCAATTTATCATATCCTACACATTTGATACTAGTAGCTACCTAACATAACTACCATATATTGTCCCTGTTTTCCTCTCTCCTACTTTAAGATGTATCTAGTAGTCCGTAATACTTTTCAAGGCTAAGCGAACTAATTCTTTAAAAAATGAAACAACGATTTTCAGAAAGAATATGAAGAGCTGTGAAAAACGCTAGGCGTTGGTGAAGAGCTTAAGGAGGATGAAGAAAGAGCAAACGATTCCAATGAGAATAGATTATCGTTTAAAGCAGATGAAAACATACACTTGTGTGTTTCTGTCATAACGCATTCAAACGTTTGGAGTTCTAAACATATTGAACACCATAAAGGAAAGAAGTATCTAACCTGTAGAACAGAAATTACAAGTCGATTTAACAATTGCTGTAAGGAAGTTTCAATTTCAGAGATGAGCAGCATCCAGAAGCAAAACCAATTCAAAAGAATGAATACGGTATCTATGAACACATTAAAATATAAAGACGGTTAAAAAACGAATGCAGCAAAGGTACAAAAGTGAATTTTATTAAAATATTCAAAGAAAGAAGTCCATTTGGCATCCAATGACAATTTTTTTGAATTGTTAATGTTATTTCAAAAAATTTCAGGAAGAAAATTGAATCGGAGGCGGAAGATGCATTTAATAATGGAATAGCCAATTTGCGTGAATTAGAAACAGATATCGGTAATATGATGAAAAGAATGGCCAGTCCAGTTATCCAGAAATTTGAAGAATTAAAATTGACTCGGAAGAAAAGTAGCAAAGACACAAAAATGCTGAAAATAGAAGTTCGTTTCTTTTTATCCTATTTTCCCTTTTTAACTCACAGTTTTCCGGAAAAGCCTTATCAATCTGTCCATTGTTATTAATGTTAGATTGATAAGGCTATCTGGAATCATTTTATCGTAAGCCAAAAATCTGCAGTGAAGCTCGAAATAACGGACACTTTTTAACTGGTTGTGGTTTAACTGCAGTTGAAGTTTTGAAAATTTTACTGATGCGCACTTGAAAGATTAAAAAATGCAGAAAACAGTCTAGTTGCGTTCGAAGAGGATCTATAATGATTTAGAACAAAAGAAAGAATGCCTAGAAAACCATTTCTACTGCTTAACCCTGGTTTCAAGGAAATGGACAAAGGAAATGGACAGTGATTTTAGATGACAAAATTGTAAAGGCGAATAAACAAAATTTACGAGGCGCGTGAAATATGTGTAACAACAAAGTTAAAGTATCACTGCATCATTCTACTCTCGACATGGCTTATCATCAACTAATTTTATAATACAGATAATTTTAGATGGCAAAATTGTAAAGGCGAATAAACAAAATTTACGAGGCGCGTGAAATATGTGTAACAACAATAGCTGAAATGAATTAAACCACCAAAAGGATGCTTTTCGATTTAATGGGTTTTGTAGTGAATATTTTACGAAATGCTCTATACATTGGCGCATGGATACGTGATTCACTAGTTTATTACACAGAGAGTAAATGAAAAAAGAAGTAATTAAGATGACCACAAAGAATGACCATCATTGTTTGCTATTAAACTGTGTGCTAACAAATGTTAAGTAATAAATTGAGTTAAACAGCATTATTTAGTGATCAGGAATGATGCTGCTATGTTTGTATTTAAGAATCAAGAGACACAGCATCTAAATTATTGATTTAGAGATCAGTTTATACTTCAATTATGGCCATAGAAACAGTCATTCTCAGAAGAGTATGTTATGTTATTAGCTGAAAGTAATGAATAATCATAAATAAAATGAAAGTACAACATATATCGCAGAGGATTAGAGGACTTACTCTGGCCAACGATTGCCTTCAGCGACATTGCCACTGTTTGTTGTGATCCTGCAGCAATATTTATCGTACTTTGGAATATTAAAAATAGATTAGAATCCACAAAAAGATTTGAAAATGTCATTTCTGTGTTATATAGCAAGTCTAACTAAATGCTGTTAATTTCCAGTTATTTTAGCCAATACTTCCTTCACATACTTCCAGTGGACTTCAAGACCATTTTACTTAGAGTACAGTACAATTGTGTTAGGACTATTCTCTATATCACCCATATCGGCATATTGTCCACACGGGAAAAGTCAAAGTTTTTGATTTCTTTCTGATGGAATTGATTCTTGGCACATACTCAGTTGAAAATTTCTCTTCTTCAAAGAAGAGAAAAATTACAGCTTCTACTTTCAGTCTTTGAAATCAATTCGCAATATATGGTACGAACATATATGTAAACACACACACACACACAATATGTAATTTTAGACCAACTCATCAGAATAAAATCAAAGATACGGTGGAGTATGGTAAGCCAATAACATAATAAGATGAAATTACTGTTGACGACACTCCCTTTTGTAGGAGACATTCCAGTCCTGAGCTATAAACCCACATCCAGCCCCATTCTCGACAAGGAAGACTCTCAACATGTTCAGTGAAGTTAGCTTCATTTAATATGGCCCGTAAATCGAGGCGATGAAAAAAATGTTTCTCGTGATTTATGTTTACTAAGTTTTCCACTACAGGAAGGCGTGGAAAGTCCCATGCAACGTAAATCTAATTACAGAATATAGCAGTAGTTAAATAAAGTGACTTATTATTTACTATTACTGTTATTGTTAGTATTTACTTATAGGAAGAAGTTCAGAATTTATGTCTTGTTATTTCACGTCATCGTTCAACTTGTAAACATATTTGGTAGTTTTGCTGACTTTCAACAAAATTTCTGATCGGATTTTATAGACCTTTTTCTAGCACGGCTAATTTAGATATATATATATATATACGTTTAAGCCTCTATGTTTCATAAAATTTTACTTCCAGTATTTTTCTTGTAATCCCTATTATTAGATGGCTGCAAGCATTACGTTCACACATATCAATTTATTATGTGTTAATTATCTTTACATTTGTTTTTTCTTTTTCACAGGAAGTTAATGAAATCATTATGTGCTCCGGTGTTAACTATAAAAAGAGGTGATGAAGATGCTGACTGCCCTGTTCTTCTAGCCAGTAAGTTTTTATTTTCCTTTGAAGAATTTCTAGACAGCAGAAGATCAATTCACCAAAATGATTTACTAGATTATCTTCATTTATGTATTTAAAGGATTTTTTAATTTCAGCTAAATTTGTTGCCTTATTAAGTTCTCTCACATGCTAATATTTTCCCACATACTATTTTAGGTAATGGTTGCATGATTGATTCTTATAAGAAGGATCACAATGGACTGTTAGTTTCACAACATCAAACCTGTGTTTTTGAAGAAAGGAAATGTAATATATATGGGTTGACTTATCTCGACAAACAGGGTATGCGTGCACCGTTTTGCTCGTTTTCTAAACTATCATTAAAAATTACTGATAGTGAGTAATCATTTATCAATTAATTAGTGTGTATTAAGAATACAATTACTGCTACAGAGGGATGTACCATATTGCAAGTAGTATCGATTATGGCAGTTTAGTTATAGTAAAATGTTACCAGTGCGTTAAGTAATTTTTTGAAGTTATTTTTCAAAATGATAGTTAAAAATAGAGAAAGTTAAATTCAAGAAAAAGGATTTGTAATATCCGATTTGGTTCTTTTAGGAGTAATTAATATCTATTTAACATATAATTTTCCATTAAGCATTGGCGTTACTGATATTACAAACCATTCTTTTATAACTTAACATTCCCCATTTTAAACTATCAAATAACTTCAGAAAAATTACTTAACGCACTGGTAATCTTTCACTTAATATCGGCGTGGTCGCACATCTGAAAGGGATGAGTTCCATCTGATCCACTAAATCATAGTATTGTGATTTTTTTTTCCAGTTAGATTAGAAACATGTGTAAGATTTATCTCAGAGACCAGAACAGCATTTGATTTTTTTGGAGACATTTGAGTCATTTCTGAAAATTTTGTAATTTTGAGAGCTTTTTTTAAGGTGTCGTTTTTAGATGTTTTATTTGCCTATGGCGAAAAATTGGTAGCAGTGATACATCAGTTTTCCAGCACTCCGCAGAAACAAGTATTCACTTTTAAAGACTGGATCCAAGCCTTGCGTGTTTTTAATAAGCAAAAGGAGCCAAGACACTCCGTGGAGGTTAAATTATACTGTGTATGATTCCGATTTCATTTTAATTAGTTCTTGAAACGCATTTCTTAGGCATAATTTTTCAAATAATGTATTGTACTATCTTTTAGGGATTTATTTACTAATGGCACTTTTTTCAAAATTCGCGACTAGTTTGAAGTGATATTTTTTCAGTGATAGGTTTCAGTTAATTCAGACAGCTAAATAACTTATTCCATTTTTGCTTTTTTGATAGATAGTAACACTGTCCATCAGTAATGAAGTGCAACTTTTCCGTCTGGACGTTTCTGCTGGAAGTTCAAATCTTGCCATTGAAGAAGTGACAACTGTGAAGTCAAGTTACCGAGTTTCCATGTAAATTTTTGAAAAAATTGTAGATTTAAGACCTTTTTAAGTTCTTATTGTTTAGCTTTAAGACATTTTCGAGATGAAAATGGGTTCAGTAAGACAAGTATTGATATTAATTGCATAGGCCAAGTTTAAAGAGTCGTTTATATCATAATTTGCCATGTGTTATTAATAATTTGATTTTTATAGGACTATTTAATCACTTTATTTATGTGAAACATGAATTATAAGTAATAACATGTAATGATTTTCAAAAATTTCAATTCCAAGTTTTGCAGAACGCATTCAGTTTTGGATGGCGATAGTTGGAATAGTCTTCGCACAGTAGCTGGTACCGTTATGGGTGATATAATCATTTCGTATCCCTCCAAATCTTCTTCTCCTTTTCACGTTCTAAGGCATCACATGGTTCGAAATTTGCGAAGTTTTCTGCATTAAGTGAGAACTAGACAAAAATATTAAACCGTACCTTTGAATATCGATGGTTGACAAATTGGAGTATCAATTAGAAGAAACTAATGAAGCGGATTTAGTACAAAATTCTTTGACTTTAATAGTTTAAATGGCTTATTCTATCCTAAAAAGTTTTTATTGTGCTTTTGTGCCTCATATTGCCAACCAGTAATATGGTGTAGTTTTTCCCAGTAGGTTATTTATGCATGTGAAGAAGTAAATCTACTAATAATTGATACAAATTAACTATTGCAGGGTATGATTTTCGGCTTACTCATAAAATGTAACTTTCTGTTTTCTGTGTCGGATGACAGGAGCTTGCATATGTGGTCCCTGGATGATGCTCGTCATTTAGACGAATGTTATGGGCATTCAACAAGGCCATTTTCTATTTGTGATGGACCGCAAAATGTGGTATTCACTGGAAGTCAAGTGTGTTATTTTTTAGTTCATAGTTTTGTTGTTTCTATTTTTATTACTACTTTTTCTACATTTTGAAAAACTAAGGTATTGATTTTTGACAAAAGTGCTTTTTTCAACTCTTTGGCATATCAGATTCAGCTGAATTATTTCATGATTGCAAAATGCTAATATTGTTTCTTTTTCTGTGAAAAATATTTTAATCTTTAGGATGATTTAGCTATTCTTAATGCTTTTATATAATTGTTTTGGTTTAGGACGGATGTATATGTATGTGGTTGTTTGGTGAATCATTTGTTTCGCTTTTAAAGTTGATACACACGGGTTGTGGTGTTATCCGTTCTTTTCTGTTTGTATCTCAAGAACTGGTAAATTTTTTTGGTCCCATTGTTTTATGAAGATTTGTCTAAATTAAATTGCAGTTCCAATTTCTTATTCTTCAGATACCTTAAAATTTGCTTTAAATACAGAAATTATTGCTTGTGCAAGGATTCATTGTTATTTGTAGTTTTCTGCTTCTTTGTCATAATTCACGATTAATTTTCAGTTTTTTGGCACAGATTATGGGTTCTTTGGATCTGTAACATTTCCAGAAAATATAGAAAATATGCAAACCGTTAATCTCATTTATCCAAATCTGACAGTGCAATCATTCGTTGCGGTTTCACAACAATGCTATTATATTTTGGATTTACAAGGGTTAGTTGTCGCAACTTTTTAAAATTATTTTCATAAATAAATAGCAATAATAGGAGAAATATTACATAAAGAAAGAGAGTAAATCTAAATGGAAGGTGTTGGTAAGCAAAGATGTGGAAAAAAGTTTGTGTGGGAAAATGCTACAGCATAGTTATATAATGATTTATGAAATTTTTTTCAAGCTTTTTGGATATACTTCAGTAGAAACTCTGTGGTTGTTCTGTTTTAAAACGAGTTGATTTATTGATGTAATTAGTTTGGTAATCCATAATGCTGCTAGAAATATGTTCAT